AAATAATCAGAAAAAAATCTGTTTTTTTTTTTGAATTTGATTATAATCGATTTTTTTAACTCAATTTCAAACCGATTATAATCAAACTGAAAAAAAAAACTGATTTTTTTCTGATTATTTCCGTGTAAACCATTGATTAAGAATCGTATGATTATAATCGATTAAAAATCAGATTTTTTGTGATTATTGAGGTCATTTTTTTTACATGGGAAGACGATGATCGATTTGTAAATGGACATGGCAAGATAATAAAAAGTTACCCTGTGCACACCTCTGGTACGCACACAGTTACTAACACGATTCAAGGTCAAATACTGTTCACATCTTCTTAATTCTTGGCGGAAAAAAAACATAAACTCTTGAAAGAAGAAGGGAATCGGGAGCTTTGTCTGATGCTTTGCTTTTTTTATTCACATGAGTGTGTCAATAGTGTCACAGCGATTTTCTTTCAGACACGGTAAAGTATCATAAAAATGTAAAGTATAGAGTCTGGAACAAGGTGGAATTGACATACAGCATAAGTTTATCACCGAAAGCATGCTTGTTTAACTTAAAATACATTAGGAACTGTCACGAAGGAAGACTTAAAAATACAACATTTGTTCTCTAGTGTACATTACATTTCTTTTTACTCAGGTTTTCTCTACATAAACATGGTAGTCACAAGTACTAGAAGCTAAAGAATTCGTCAGAATACAATCATTTCTACAAATAATAATCAGTCAAATGGTTATACGTTATTTGCTGAAAATTTCCCATAACTGTCTTCTGTTTCGGTGAAATCTGTTACTTTCTTTTATTGCTGAAAGATAAGCGTTTTGAATTTTTATATCATAGAAAAATTACTCAGATTACGGTATGAACCACAAGAAATATTTTCAGCAAGGTTCTGAGAGTGTTTGTAACCCTGAGAAACACGATCAAAAATATAATGGGTGACGCAGAATAAATTATTTCGTTCGTATTTCTAATATTTCTCCTCTGTTTTTTAATCAAACAAAGTGAGTTTTTAATCAAAAAGAAGCGCTTTAAATTCTGCACAAAACAATATATTTCATTTAAAGAATATAGTTTCCTCCATTTTTTAAATTTCACATAACCTTATAGTAAAATCAAGTACAGAATTTAAAATTTTTTGTTTCTCAATTATTGTGACGGAACGTTTTATCTCTTCAACTAACGTTGCTTTTGTTGTTATTCGTTCTTTCTAAATGAAGAAAACAACCCTTAGTGATTGAAGAGAAGGAAAGTGAGAATAAGGAACTTGCATCATTCTTGTTGAAAAAATCCTTTTCAAAATCTGCTGTTGAGAATAGAAAATATGTCTATGAAAATTTAGTCAAACATGCATTTCACTAGCAGTTACTAATGATGTATTTTTAGAATATTCATCCCACATAAATAAATTTTAAGATATTGATATGTTTCATATAGGGCAAAATTTTAAAATACCTTTTCTGATGTATGCGAATATTATTTTCGAAAAGAAATGTTTGGTTTATTTTAATATTCATTAGTTTTAAAATCAATCAATAAAACACAACAAGATGATAAATTTGTACAAATGGGCATCTTGGCAGGTGTCAAAAAAAATGAAAATACAGCAAATTGAAAACTAAAAACTTCATAAATAACTTTATTTCATTAGAAAAAAACAAGGAAAGCTTCTTGATCATTCAACAAAAGTTGTTTGATTTTGTTCTCTCTCTTTTACCTCTTCATCTTTTTCTCTACACATGTTCATAATACATACGAGCAATTGCATGAACAGAAAAAGATCAATAGATCAGGCAAAAGAAAAGAACAAATTATATTTCATTGAAGGAATATAGAAGTCCTATTATTTTGCAACACTAAACTTATTGAATTAATAGATTTGCTGTTCACTAAATACAAGCTATGCTCTGGAAGAACTTGATGTAATATATATATTTGCGTCATTTATTTTATTCATGTAGTTTTATTCAATCCTTCAAAATCCGTCCTACACCTCAACGTGGTGAAGGAGTGAGCATCCGAAGTAGGGGATTGCCCGTCCAGGCTATACCATCAGTGATTAAGGCTCTGCCGAAGAATCACCAAGAGCGCTACGCAAGGTGGGCAGACTGAACGGGAACCCTGGAAAAAGGATGACCAACGCCGGCGGTTAAAGCTTGGACAGCAGCAAGTCTTTATAACACCAATCAAACGGATGATCATCGTACAACGGCTGATTGGTGAACAACAAAAGGCTAGTAATCACTGTAGTGGTGAACGTCTTTTGCACTGCGAGATGGAAAGTCACAGGGAAGCTACCATCTTAACACTCCCAAACAGCACGGTGAACAAGAAACAGTTATTATACCGGCTCGGACGTCGCCCGGGATAACAAGGTCCGCGTCCCCTGTCGGGCAACCAGGACAGGGTCGAAAAATGGACGACTGGAAGAAACAACAAGATTACAACAGCTCCATCGACATCAATACAACTACGAAAGAAATTGAGAATTGGTACTTAGAATGTCCGAAGCATGCTGCAACTAGGTAAAATGCAGATCTTGGAACTAGGAGTGGGAAGTCCCCGTTACATTCCCAGGTAACTGGTAACTTCTCCGTTACCGCCGTTACCAGTTTCCGGGTAACTGGTAACGGTTTGGAAACCGTTTCTCGTCCCCAGCTCCTAACCCTAGGGTCCTCAAGTCCAATTTTGTTTACTAAAAACATTTTTTTGGTAAACAAATTTTTTTACAACAAAATTTTGGGGTGTTTTCGAAAAAATTTGTTTTTTCTCAAAAAGTCGGTTTCGGCAGTAAAAAATTTTTCGAAAAAGAATTCTTTGGTAAACAAAATTGGACTTGAGGACCCTAGGGTTAGGAGCTGAGGACGAGAAACGGTTTCCAAACCGTTACCAGTTACCCGGGAACTGGTAACGGAAAAGTTACCGTTACCCGGGAACGGCAACGGTCTGGGAACGGTAACTTCCCACCCCTAGTTAAGGGTATCCGAAAAAGTACCCTGTTACCAGTATGTCACAGGAACTTTTAGGTACCAAAGTACTTGTAGGTACTTTCAAGTACCTAGGTAGTACTTTGGCAAGTACCCTGTTACAAAATGTATAGTAACAGGCTACTTGAAGGTACTGATGAGATACTCAATTGGGTACTATTGTATAGTATTTCTAAGTACCCTGCTACTAAAATTTCAGTATGTTCAGGGTCGAATCTAACCTTTGACGGTTTGTAATTTCTGTTTCTCGCGAAGCGATTTACTACATTTTTTTCGATTTTATTCAATTTAGTTTTTTCAATTCCGAAAACTTAGTAGGTACCATGCTGGGATCTGACTCGACTTGAGTTGGCCGGGTATCCATCAGACCACATCAGAATAGTCCGCTCTTAATCTACGATCAAGATCAGCATGTTCTCGGCTAAGAAATAGTCAAGAAATAATCTGGAAAAAATTAGTATGAAAATAGATTAATTTCTTATGTTTTGCCGAGTTGTTTATATGGAGCCGTGCATGAAAAAAAACGGTGAATGAATAGTCGCTACACAGAACGCGACAAATATAGGGTACCCCGTAGAGCTCTCCTCAGTAAAATTACAGATGCGGGTACCCGTACAAGTACTTGTTCAGTATGCGTACTTTTATGGGAACCACATGCAGTCTCTACATCAGTATAATTACTGTGAGTTTTCGAAGTACCCATATTGGATACCCTGCTAAGGCTTTTTCAGTGCATAGGTACCCTGAACTCAGCAGTTTCTCTAGGGTTCACCTATCAGAACTAGTAGAAATTGTGGCTTTGCGGATTTCTACTTACTTCTTGTAAGAACCCACTTATCTGATGAACTTCTCATGTCTTTCAAGTAGTAAACCCAGTTTTATGTGTTGGGCAAATGACATCGGTGAATTAGACTCTGTAGTCACTGTAATACATAGCTAAAAAGTCTTATGAAAGACTCAAAGCTTAGAAGAGGAAGAACTAAGCTCTCTCAGGCCTTACACTAGGTGAATTTTGCCTCTTTCGATAAGATGTGTCGCTTCGGTCTTAGCGACATACGACTGAGAAAATGAATGAGATTCGATTGCTGGAATATCAGGTACTCGTGACCGAATTCTTCACAGATCTTAGAGCTTGATTGCACATAGCCGCATATTCTAGATCAAACAATCTTTGGAGCCACAATTCCTATCCAACTTTTTTTGGAATCCTTCAAAATTTGAAAAGAAACGAAAAGGTCTGGTCGAATCCAAAAATTGGAGCTTGCCTGTGTGGACATTGCCAACTTTCGACTGGATCAGGCAGGATATTTTGAATTCGGCAAAATCCGAGTGGCTGTGGTTGATCGGCGGCTATTTCTTGATCAATATTGTGACGACTTTCCAAAGAAAAGTCGCTAGCACTGATAGTGAGGAAGATACGGGTGTGGGTCTGAGTCTGGATATGGGTGTTCGTGTGGGTGTGGGTGTGGGTGTGAGTCTGAGTCTGGGTATGGGTGTTGGTGTGGGCATGGATATTGGTAACGGAGAAGACACCCATACCCATACCAACATCCACACCCACGCCCTCTCAATGTAGATTTTATTTTTCAAATTAGCAAATTACATAGAAGAGAAAACGACAAATCTTTCAATATACGCTGATAAATTTTTTTTATTTGATTCTCTGAAATTTTTGTATACGAAAATTATGAGTATCTGTAACGTATAAATTCATTTCTGAATCAAATGTTATGTCTTGTGGATAAGATAATTGATTACTACCGCTTCCAGCGTCTCCCATCCCTGCAACTGTAATACCAAATACAGAATTTGGACAAAACATTTGCACACGATTGTTGTATGAATCTGAGACATATAAATTTCCATATTTATCAATAGTTATACCTTGAGGACGATATAATTGGACTGCACTATCGCCAGATCTACCAGGTATACCAGCATATATATTACGAGGTTCATAATCACCAATAACCCATTGTGTTATTGAATGCGATTCCTCATTTGATATATATAATATTTGATTGGGTTCGTCTAAATATAAACCATTTGGATTATTTAATTGATATGGATTAAGACCTGCACCGTTACCACCCTAAAACAATAATTAAGACCATCGTTTCAACTTTCTTCCTTATTTTATGAAGTGATAATTTAATCTTATTCAGTAGAAGTAAAATCAATAACTTACAGCGATAATTGTGCCAACACTTTTTTCAGAATCATATGGAAATGTCCATTGCATGATCCGTTGATTTAGACTGTCAGCAACCAGTATATTCTTTTTTGAATCGATTAATACTCTTGTTGGAAAATGGAATTCATTTACTGCTGTACCTAAAGTTTCATTTCCGGCTACTGTTCTACCGCTTTTGGCATCTTTCTGCCAATATTGAATTCTTTGATTATACCAATCAGAAATGAAGACATTTTCATTTTCATCTGCAAAAATATCTACGGGACAATTTAATTTATCCGGTGTTGATCCAGCGTGGCCGTGTGGGTCACCAGCGGCAGTCTTAATCTCACCATTTGGATATCGTTTTTGAACACGATGGTTGCCAACATCAGCAATATATAAAATTTCTGTTTTGGGCTCGATAAATATACCATTAGGGTAATTTAATTGATTAGGACCTGTACCATAACCACCAATGATTGTTGTTGCTGTTGTGTTCCATTTGAGATTACCTGGACCTATAGTTTCAATAAAAATTCTGATTTAAACAAATACAAGGATACGGTGATGAGATAAATTTATTTGTACTTACAATCGCTTGATTGTTTACCAATATGTTGACCTACAAAAAAAAAGAAGTAGAAGAAACTGAAAACTCATTTAATTTCATGTACTTACCATTTATCACGATTGTTCTAAAAATAATAAAGTAAATACATTAAGTACTCTATAATCAGAAACGAGATCCTCGAAGTTTAGGTTTCGGTTTAACTTTTCATTGATACTCACGAGAATATGCATAATAAATGCTGCAACATCATTTTGTTATTTTATTAGAATAGAGAAATAAAGTCTCAATTTCTTACGTCTTGATAATTATATTTATGTCTTTATTAATGCGTTGTCATCTACCTTTAACATACATATAGGTTAGGCAAGAGAAGAGGAGATAATAGTAAATAAACAATGACGTCACATACTCAGAACGTTAGTAAAAGTTTTAAGTGAAAAATAGATGAATATAAGAGGCATCTATTTTCAAGAAAAATAAGTCTAATGGTGAAAATATTCTCTGTTTTTTCTATTCTTTCATTTACAATGACAATAACAGCGTTTATATCATTATTCAGTTTTCAAATGATAACGGCAGTTAGATACTGAGAATAATAATTAATAATTTATGTGAATGCGCTTTTTATTTTTAAAATAAATACATTACACATAAAAACAAATGACAATTATTTTAAAATACAACGATTCTAAAAAATAGAAGCCGAAATTCACTTGTGCGCTGTCTGTAACATGTGGTACCAATAATCATCTCCATGGTACAAATTACCAATATGATAAATGACAACACATAAATATATATACTATTGTTATAGCTCTTTATAATTATAGACTTCCCTATCGACAGATATTTTCACTAAATTTTTGTATTTCAGGATGCTTTTTGTTATTCTCTGTCATACGTTATGATTTTTTCTATCATAACTGAGAAGTGCGACATATTCGTAAATTTTCGAATATTCGTCGCCGTAACTGTTACCACAAAAAAAAAACGATAATCATTATAAATTAAATATCGTAACGCACATGAGGGTGTGGGTGTGGGTATAGACAAAGAGAATATCCATAACTACACCCACACCCATCGATGAAATTGCAATCGAACAACATCAACAATAAGGTTAGCAATTAGTTATCCTTTCTTGATGGTCTCAAAAAACGTTTTCTCTTCTTACATGAAATAGAGTGTTGCTGAATCTGATATGGACGTCGTTTCTAATCAATCAAATGAAGATTCCTAATTGAAATATTCAAATTTCGATAAATCTAAGTTGGTCAATCATACTCTATATTCAAGTATTCAACATGATCACACTTATTGCTCAAACGATGATCTTGAAATAGTAATACCTAAACGTCGAAAACTATCGTCACTGTCTTTAGTATGGTATTTAACAAATTAATTATCATTATTTTATTTATTTCGTTTTAGAACTCTGATAATAGTCAACTCATTTTTCAATCACCTTGTGCACACTCCTCTCCGAAATTGGACCATAAAAAAAAGATACTTTTACATCATCAGTTTTCGTAAGTTTACTGTTTATATTTAAATATACATTATCAATCATACTTTGTAGAAAACACCATTAATGTCAATAACATTAACACCTCGTCGTACGGCTCGTTTCAGAAAATCTTATGGTGAAACAAAAATTCATAGTCAACCAAACGATTAATGAACGTCTCTTTTTGTTTTTCTGTTATTTTGCTTTTGTCGATAACTTTCTTTGGGCAATTCTGCCATATATTTAATTTTTTATTGTTATTTATAAAAAAATTTCAACAAGCCTGATACATTTTTTTAAATAAAACTATTTTTCTTGTCAACTAATATAATTTTGATTGAAAAAAAAGATTTTCATTATCTTGCAAAGCTATTTGCACCTGACATATTGGCCTCTTTGGTTAGAAAAAATGAAATTTAATTGAATTTATATTTAAAAACAATTTTCAAGAAAGAAATTTTAAACGAGCTATCTAACAGTATTGAACGATATTTGACTAAAGCAGTTGCATTGATACTATATGATAGCGCCCTCTATTTTTTATTTGCTTCTTTTTTTTTCGAAAACCAAGAATGTAGTTCGATAGAGAATAATTTTCTCTATTCACTCATATCAAAGCTATATCTAGCCCCTGTCAAAAATCAAAGAACCAATCATGGATCGTTTGCTATTGTTTCACTTATTTGAGCTATTTTTTCGGATGAGCGTCCGTACAATATATATGGCCTGTTTTACACTGAAAAAGATAAAACAAAATGAGCGAGGCGATTGGTCTATTCCGACTTCAATTATCTTTTTGAGATGACTTATTCGTTAATTGTTTTAATTCACTTTGAATTAGCCGGTGTGAAACAGGCCATAGACATATGATAGGAAGAGATAAATAATTTCTTTCTTTTTTTTTTCATTTCCTCTAATATATGAACATATCGACCGATAAAATGTGTACCCATTCTTCTCCGTATAAATAGTATAGAAACGAAAAAGAAGGGTTTCGCCCAATGAGAGATTGCGCCCTCTTTTCTCTCACATACTGATTGAATAAAAATGGACGCTAATCATTTTTCTTATTCTAACGTTTCCCAAAATCGTAACTCAAAATGAAAAAGTGTCTCACTACTTCTGCATATGAATAATGTTGATATGTTTCCTTATCTCTCAAACTTATTTGTCTCTAGCTCAGCCTAGAATCATTTTGATTTAGAAAAAAAATTGCAATTAAAAAGTGGGCTAATTAAGAAGGCATTGGCAGATTTCAGGATGACTCAGTCTTGAAAGAAGGCTATCAAGGTGTCTATTGGTTAGAACTCGTCAAAATCTATCTAGTGTCGCATGCCTTGAACTTGAAGACTAAGTCTGGGCGAACCGTAACAGTCTGGAAGGTGCAACTTGGACCAGTGAGGTACTAATTAGCAATTTTCGGCATGATTGAATATTTCAAAATGGTCCAAAAGGTGTCCATTGGATAGAGCTGGCCGAAATCTATCTGTTGATGTGTGTCTCGAACTTCGAGAATAAGTCTGGGCGAATCGTGGTGGGCGGGAAACTGAAAATTGGACTAATGAGGTACTAATTAGCAATTTCCAGCATGGCTAGCTTTTCGGAGACGGCATAAAAGGTGTCTATTGAGAGAGCTCATCAAGATCTATCTGTTGATGTATATCTCGAATTTGGAGACTAAGTCTCGGCGAATCGTGACAATCCGGAAGTTGAAAGTTGGATCAATCAGGTATTAATTAGCAATTTTTGGCATGATTGAATATTTCAAAATGGTCCAAAAGGTGTCCATTGGATAGAGCTGGCCGAAATCTATCTGTTGATGTGTGTCTCGAACTTGGAGACTAATTCTGGGCGAATCGCGACGCGTTTTTCAAGATTTTGCCTCATTTTTGCATGGTTTTTCGGTTATGGTGGGCGAGGGTTTGATTGAATTGAAGAAAGGTAGTGTGAATCTGATAGAGCACGTCGAGTTCTACTTGGAGACTAACATTTCAGAGCTGGATACTAATTTATAGCGAATCCATTCACGAAAGACTCGAATCCTGGTCTGGGAATATCCTACGTGTTCGTGTTTCTCATTTTTAATCCCGCAAGGGATTGCGCTAACAACTTTTTTTACTATAATTTGTTAAAACTATTATTACAATATTTATTATATAATTTGCTTGAAAATTATTCCAATTGATTATTAAATTCATTATTTTACTGCTAAATTTACTGTTAAATTTATTATTGAAAACTTTTGAAATCCTCTGTCGGATTCAAACGAATTGTTTTAAAATTTTTATTAAAATAATTAAATCTTTACTAAACTGAAAACAATGTTTACCACAACAATTGCTTTGAAGTTAATTCTATTATTAAATCTATTATTAATTTATCGTTGGAAAATAAATTGAATACGGAAAGTATTATATGAAACCTCTTTCTGGTCAATAACCACTGAGTCAGATATGAAAATTACTATGAAATTCCTATTCGAAATATCAGAAAAACTATGATAATAATTGTTTATTAGCATAAGGCTAACAAGAATATTCAAGATATACCATATATGAAATCCTTATCAAATTTAACGCCTCAAAATTGTTTTAAAATGAATAAAAACTTTTCGTTGTCATACTATTTTCCGTTTTTGCTTCAATTATAAGTATCTTCCCATTTCTTCTTATATCTATAAATATACCTTTCGATCTTTGACTTCATTGCTTATATTTGTGAATGCAGAGCCCTGCTGAGTGTTTCAATATTTTAATAAATAAACATGAAACGCGCCGGCAAAATTAGCACTGCATTTATTTAAATTAATTTTAATTTAAGCATATTTATTTACGACAGAGAAAATCGGTTGCAGAAAAGCAAAAGTTGAGAGTAGCAGATTGATCTATATCTTAGAAATATAGATCGATCTGTTTCACATTAATTTTTACGTTCACCCACACCCAGAAAAAGAGCTGATAATTTTTTTGTTTGGACTGTCAATTTCTAAATCTATCCAGAAGAATAATATTTGGAAATGCTGGCTCATCAAATGACTTGAGAGAAAGTCGATACTCATCTAGTGGAGCTAAAATGCTTCACTTTTGAAACAAAGACTATGGATGGCATGTTGTGAATGAAAGCAAAAAGTCAACAGTTCCGACTGAACTTTAAAATATTGTGCAACTATTTAATGATGAACCGAACAAACACTTTATGTAATCTTTATGATTCATATTGATTTTTCCTTTGTTCACAACAAATTGAACTAATAAGTTTTGCGTAGATCAACTTGCATCTCTTAGCTAATGTTAGGATAAATATTTGGCAAGCATATTGATGAAAAATCGGGTCGCATATAATTATCGTTAACAAACAGCGTATTAAGTCCTTCACAATTTGTACAGTTGGTCCACCTTTGCACTCTAAATCCATGAGATTTCAGCAAAATGGTTATGTTGGGCATCTTCGAATTATTTTCAATAACCAGATAATGTATTTGAATATTCCAATCCATTGTGAGTAGCACAGACAACTCACCACCTTCAACATCAAGGCTAAAAAGGTCAATGTGAGTGATTCCAATGGCGGCTAAGTATGTACCTATAGGGCCGCATATAACAT